GGGTTGGACCTAGACTAGGATCTCCGTGTCGTCATGCACGCACGCAGGGCTCTTTACAGACAAGCTCCAAGAGGCTCCCCAATCTTGTAGAGTTGACGGTTGGAGGACGGGGGGTATTTTTGAAGTGATTTTTTTGTTGTTACTAACTTATTGTGAGCATTATTATTGTCGTTACTGTTGTTATTGTTATGACTGAGCCCTAGACAAGTCCTCCGAGGCATCTCCAGACCCGTCTCCATGACTGGACCCGTGATGTCGCGGACCATGGACCACAGGCAGAGTTGCACCCAAACCGTGATTTTGTAAGTTCGGTAGGGCATAGACGCCCCCAAATTCAAAGACGCAAGCCTCCCAAACTGGCAACGACCATTGGACTCCACCCGTGTGTGCAGTGTACTTATTGCTAAACCCGAGCTGAAAGCCCAAGTAAGCCTAAACTCTTAGCCCGTCTAAACCCTAAACCCTGGGGTCCCGGAATGGGCTGGTGACACTCGAATCTCTTAGTCCCGACATTGCTTTAGGGTTGAGGGTTAACACGGCCCTTGCTGCACTTGATGATGAGGTTTGTAAAGCCTAACAACAAGGAACCATACTTTGTAAGGCCTAAAAGAAAGGAGCCATACTATCTCCAACGTTGCCAGTGGGCTAGTAGTTCTGGCAGTTGCCACCGTGAGTTCTTCAGTCTCAAGCTAGGGTATCGCAACAACAAGAGTACTGTGACTGTGAACCCTGACTCCTTGCGCAATCTTGAGCCTTCAACAACGCTTTTTTCACACCCCTCACCCAAGTTTCGAAAGCTGTTACCTCATCGTCGAAGGACTAAATGGGCAAATTCCAAGTAGTGGTTCCCCTTCCACACATCAAAAGAGCTTGAACCCTTATTGAACTTATTGTAGGAACCTCCCAAAAGGGTGCCCACGTTGTGGGAAACCCCGCAAATTTGGCCGCCAAAGCTGCGAATGCCAAAGTGCCGCGGTCCTTTATGCCGAGATCCAGCTCCGGCTGTGGAGGCGAGGGAACCTCAAAGGCCCCCCCAAGCCCTAAACCCCAAAAACTACCCAGCACCGACTCCAAACTTTAAAGCCCCAAGGGGGCTGCAAGAGACAGGGTATGACACATGGTCCAGCGTTTTGGGGTTTGGAGTTGAGGTCCATGGCCATAGGATGTTTTTCGCACCGTCAAGAACAAGAAGTGACAGTCACAGACGCTGCTTCTAAGTTGAAGATGATGCTGTTGTTGGTGATGGTCACCACCACCACCACCACCATCATCATCATCATCATCATCATCATCATCATCATCATCATGTCGGCATCGTCGTCGCTGTCATCAGAACAACAACGGCAACAGCAATTACAACAATCACAGTCACAGACACACGCGAACACAACAAATACACACAATGAATACCCAAGACAATGTGTTAGCGCCAACACCAGATGGACATGTAAGAAAGAGGAGTCATGAACACAAATAAGCAGCATGTGCTTGCAGGAAAATCAGTGACAACCCCAGACATTAAGGTTTAGGAGTTTAGGGTTTAGGGTTTAGGGTTTAGGGTTGAGTCAGCACAATTACCCAAAGAGCCACGCGTCGCACATGTGTTGCCTGAAGGGGGACACCTGGCAGCAAGCCCGGGTGTCGGGGGCACCACGCCAACAGCAACAGCAACAACAGCAGCAGCAGCAACCCCACCAACAACAACAGCAGCAGCAACAACAACAGCCACCATTGATGACTACTATTTGCTTAAGAACCCCCAAAACAGAAAAAAACTAATAATCACGATATTACCCTTGTCAGGAAGAATGTTTTTGGGGGTTCTTAAGCAATCGGTAGATGAGTATCGACTCTAATTGCGGGTTGGCTGCTTTCGAGGGGTAAGCCGGACTCGGTTTTGATGGCACTCAGGGTTCTTTGCAGCAGGAGGTCTTCCTGAGTCCCTTTCTTTATGGCGAGGTTTATCTCAGAAAACCTCCTCAGCCAAAAGATGGTAACCTAACTAAACCCTACTTCCTCAACCATAGTCCTGGAACCTAGTCTTAAAACATCCCGATAGTTCTTGGAGGCTGGGCGGCGCCTGTTTTGAAGGGTTTAGTGTTTAGGGTTTAGGTTTTAGGGCTGGAGGCTGTGCCCACAGTAGGTGCCCACAGTAGCATGAAGAAGAGGAAATGTCTACGAAGACAGCGCCAAGTGCATTGGCAAATGTCCAGCCAACAGGCCCACGACCCACTGCGGATGCCGGCACTCTGACTTCTAGGCAAATCACCTGGCAGGAGCCGTGGTGATTTAGGGCTTAGGACGGTTCAGAGCGGTTTAGGGTTTAGGGTTTAGGGTTTAGGGTTTAGGGTTTAGGGTTTAGGGTTTAGGGTTTAGGGTTTAGGGTTTAGGGTTTAGGGTTTAGGGTTTGTTTAGGTCATCTGAAGCCTTGCGAGCCTTTTTGCAGAGGAGGCCGTAGCCAAGCCGTGCTTTCTTGTTTTACCTGCCGGAACCAGTGAAGGAACCAGGACTCCCTGAAGTTCACCGGGACGTGCTGGCTTACCTGCCGACGTCTGCTTCGGGCAGCTTGCCTGGGTTTAGGTTTCAGGGTTCAAGGCCGCGACAGGGATCAGGTTTCAGGTTTTTTTTGTGCTCAGGGCTGGTTTGTGTAGTTGGGTTTGTTATAGGTTTTAGTTATTAGGGTTAGGGCTGTGAGAGTCTAGGACTTGGAATCTCGGGGTTTGCACATTTTGTTGTTGGGTGGGTGGAGGGGTTAGAAGACAGTAGGAGTTGGAGCCGGTCTGGATGACAAAGTCCCTCGTTAGCTTCAGGCCCAAGGGGTGGGGGGGAGAGAGTTTAGGGTTAGGGTTGATAAGGTTTAGGGTTTAGGGATGATTAGGGTTTAGGGTTTAGGGTTTCGGGTTTCGGGTTTCGGGTTTCGGACCGTTTGCCCACCAAAGGAAAGCCTATCCCGCTAGTCCTGGTCTTCCACGGATGGGGCGAGCAAGCCCTGGCGTACCTTGGTCGTTTTGGGAAAACTCTCCGGCGTCCGATGTAGGTTGGCCTTCTGACTCGGCGGGCTGGGGGTTTTACCGGTTCCCAGGCTACCCAGGTTTCTGTGTTTTTTTTGCGAGTATTTGCTGGGCTTCATGCTTTTAAGGGCTGTTGGGTTTTTAGAGTTCGTAGGGTTTATTTGGAGTTATTTTCTCAATAATGTGCTCGCGTGGATCGCCACGTGATTCATTGCTTTGTGTTCAGCTCTTGCACTGCCCTCAACGCGAAACCTTGTGGTTTCACCCTAAACCCGAAACCTTGTGGTTTCAAGGGTTTAGGGTCTGTAGGATGGGAGGCTAGGGAGGTTTTTGGGAGATTTGTTCTTTTCCCTCGTTCGGTGTAGGAGTGCAAGGGCGTCTTCTGTGGTGGTTTCCGAACTTGGGGTGCCTTCTTGGGGTCCTTCAAAAAGGGAATTCTACTATTCGGGGTCTATTTAGGGCTCCCCCATCCCATATCTTCGTAAACCCCCATGTAGGAACATTATGCAGAGGGCTTCTAAGGGGCACAACCTGAATCTTTGCAGTGGTTCGCTTGCAGAGCACCCTGAGGAGCATTCAGGTTCCATGGTTCGCTAGAGGCCAGGGTTTTTCATTCTTGAGACTGGTATAACAAAGAACAAAATCATGTAGTAGTACTAAAGGAATCTCATAGTACGATGATAATGTAACATAATATCAGAACAGATCTTAACAATATAATTCTGGGGTTCATGCAGGTTTACATGTCGAAGCCCAAACACGGTCGAAGCAAATCAGCCCTTGAGGTACCACACCAGATATGACTTTGGCGAGCTCGCAGAGCATGCCGGCTTTCTGGCGGTCTACCCGCAAGGCCGGGGTAGGACTGAACGAGGCAGTTCAGGTACGCCTTTTAGGAATGGCCTAAATCCAAACCTCGCAACACCAAGATCTCAAGCGCCTTCACCCTCGTAGGAACCACACCGTCCTACTGGTGCCTCCAAGATGTGTCTCTAGCGGGAGGGAACCATCGACTTGGACCCTTCTTAACTTTGAACACAATTTCAACCTCGAACTTTCTGGCCCCGTGCCATATATTAATTGCTTGTAACAGGGCTGCTGCCCACACACGCGACATACCCCGTTACAGAGGGTATGTATCAATGGCCGGGGTTTTGCGACAGACGTGTTTGTTGTTGTCTGCAGTTTCCAAGTCTTGCTTATCGGGGGGTAAGTGTTCGTAAGTTTCAAGAAGCAGATATATGGCTGAGTATCTGGAGTGGTTCCAAGTCTTGCTTATCGGGGGTAAATGTTCGTAAATTTCAAGATGCTGTGAGGGTTCTATGTCTTGCTTGTCGCGGCCAACCTCAACAGGGGGACTCTCTAGGCTTTAGGCAAGACACCCCAGAAGCCTGAAGCCCGAAATTCCCGAAAATCTGTGTTCATGCATCCCGGCGCGCGACATACCCCGTTACAAGTGCGTTACATACCCGCGACAGACCAAACACAGTCTATTGCGACATCTGCGTAAGCAACGTGCGCCCCAAATAGGCATTATCGTCCTACCCCAATGCGCCCTGAGACCCGTTTTTAGTGCATGTATAATATAATATGAATATAATATAATATAGGACAATATAGTATAACATAATATAATATAGTATAATATAATATAATATAATATACATGATACGAACGTGCGCGCGACAGAGGTCTGTAACAAGCCGGGCGTTACAGAGGTCTGTAACAGGTGGGCGCGGGCGCGGGCCGCGACAACCGGGTGTTTAGGCACACAGCCTTATTTCGACACTGAACAAGCTGTTCCAAACCCAGGCCAACACACACAATCTGGAGGCTTTGGAGTTGAGTCGTCTTTAAGTCCCTGAAGGCCTGAACGATACGGCCAGCGGCAAGACATCCTGGAATGGAGTGGGGTCTTCGAGCTCGAGCAAGAGCTTGCAATCCTGCAACACAAACGTGACAACTACGGGCTTGTGCTACAAAAGCTGCATGCTGAAGAAGGGCAAGTGCCATCCTTGTGACTGGACGACCTGCTATGATGATGTGGCCTTCATCCGCCATCTCCTCGCAGACCTGGAAGAGCGCTACTGCGTAGACCTGGATCGCGTCTACGCGTACGGCTGCTCGAATGGCGGCTTGTTTGTTCATGAGCTTGTCCAAAGCCTGCCCGAGGACTTTGCCGCAATAGCAGCAGCCTGCGGGGGAAAGCCTCATCGAGGCTACGAGAGGGCCTTCAAGACCGGTGGAGCACCTGTGTCCATGATCCTCCTGCAGGGCAAGGATGACAGAACCATCCCTGCGCACACGCCTGCGTCATCTGTGAGCTGGTGGGATGGCTACTACTTTGCCAACGAAACAGCGGTTCTGAGTGCCTACAAGGACTCTACATAGGGCCTCCAGTGGCCCTCTGTTCCCTTGCCTATCCAATTAAAAGCTCAAAGCGTAACTTTTTCCCTAGGTTCCTGTCGGACCCAGGACTACAACAACTGCCAGAATTCGGAGCCGCGAGGTTTTGCGCTTCCACCCGGGGTGAGCAGCAGGGGGCTGTCCTGCGTGGAGCATGGCTACCTTTGTTCCCGGAATCTAGGTAGGCCCTTGGTGTTCTTTTGTCTTTCCTTTCTTGGGTTTAAGTTTAAGAGGATGCAATGTGTAGGAATATTTCTTTAGAGGGGTTTTTAAGGAGCCATCCTAGGAATTCTTCCGTGGTCGAGTGCCAGTTCGAGGGTTGGCACGATGTGTTGTGGGAGTCGCACGAAAACAGCATCGGAGATGGTCCGGAAGCTGCCTGGTTCTTTATGTGCCAGCACTCTCGTGCTGGACCCATCCCTTCAGCCCGCTGTGTTCTAACGCAGCATGCCGCTCCAAGGACGCCAAACGGAGGTCTGTGGAGTTTCGTGAAGCATGCAGGAATTGGTGCTGCTTTCCTGGCCTTTGGGCTCACCGTGTACTGCTCTCATAAGAGGCAGAAGACTGTTCCGATACGCCAGCAGAAGCAGAGCAACTTTTTGTTTTGAAATCGTGGTCTGCAAACCCTAAGAGCCCTCAAGCAGGGGGGCTGCTTTCCAAAGCAACCCTAGGGTGCCGTTGAGTTTACGAACCAGCTGACCGTGGGGGAGGTTGAGTGTTCCGCTTTAGCCCATACGTGGGAGGGTTTCCGAACATAGGGGTACCTTGTTTCCTATAATCTTGGGCCGTGATTGGTATGGGTCACCTCTTTAAAGACAGGATGGCCCAATCCCTAAACTCTAAACCCTAAACCCTAAACCCTAAACCCTAACTGTTCTGGGGGGGTCCGCTGGATCCTGCTGGGGTAATATCCGGCTTGCTTTTAAGCTTGACAGGCTGACCCTGAAACCTCGAGTCCTACTGACATGTAAAATCCGGTGGCCCATGAAAGGAGGGGCAAACATTCAGTTTCGACTTTTCTTTGGGGGGGGGGGTGCGTGGGGGGATGTCCGAGCCGCCCCCACGATTTAGTTTTAGTTTTTAAGGTTTAGGGTTCAGGGTTTGGGGCTTGGGGTAATCCTCAAAGCTCTTCTTGTTCAAGGAGGAGTTGCTTTCTTTGGAGGCTGGTTTCCAGATGTGTTGCCTGTTCAACCCCCCAAGATTCAATCAACCTGTTGGCACCGGATACTATCTCCAAAGCCCTAAACCTAAACCCTAAACCCTAAACCCGAAACATCATCTGCCATCCTCCCCCGCAATTTCGTCCGTCTCAAGCCAGGTTGATGTCGCAGCATTCTACATGTGACCGACAAACCCTGAAGCCCTAAAACCATCTAAAACCATCTAAACCCATAAACCCTGAAACCCTAAACCTCTAAAACCATAAAACCATAAACCCTGAAACCCAAAATTCGGAGAAAAGAAACAAAGCTGCAAGTGGCAGAGTGCTTCTGTCCCTCATGCCGCGACCCAGCCCCGGCTGTGGAGGCCATGGAAGACCTAACTATGGCCCCCAAAACCCCAAAACCCCAAGCCCTGATGCCCCCAAACCCCAAAGCCCAAAAGCCCCAATACCCCAAAACCCCAAAAACCCCAAAAAACCCAAAAAACCCAAAAACCCCAAAAACCCCAAAAAACCCAAAAACCCCAAAAACCCCAAAAACCCCAAAAACCCCAAAACCCCAAAAACCCCAAGAGGCGCAGGATCTCTTTACGCCGACTCCACGGCTTTCAGACCCTTCTGCCTCCCCTGAGCTCTGGGGTAGTTCCCTAAATTTATGGTACCTTCTTGGGTCCCCTGTAGAACCCCGTTTAGGGTTTAGGGTTTAAAGTTTAGGGTTTAGGGTTTAGGGTTTAGGGCGCAGAAGGATTCGTATTTTAGAGAACTACCCTCTCAGGGCGCCGAGAATTTTAGGCCTGCTGGGACCCTGGTTGAGGCTTTGGGAGTCACGGTCTGCCTATAGACCCCACCCAGAGTGGTGCCCTTCTCTTCTGCTGCAAGCTTTTATGTTCCGTTTCCACCCCCTCGGGCAGAGCAGCGGGCAGCCACGTTTGGCCCTGAAACTCCCCAGTTTTCAGAGGGTTGGCGCTGCACCCGTTTTGAATGGTATTGAGTGCACCAGCTACGCGTGGTTCTTTTACAGGGGTTCGTGATCAATTTGGCATGAAATTGAAGTTGAAGTAAACGGACGAGAGTGGCTGCTTTGGTGCAGTGTGCCTACACAGCAGCCGTTCAAACGGTCCTCTCGCCTCGCAACATACCCAGCAAGACAGCGCCATCTTGGCTGGCGACCCTAACCCTAAACCCTAAGCCTTGAGACCTGAGCCCTGAGCCCTAAACCCTAAACCCTAAACCCTAAACCGAAGCCCCTTTTACCCCTAAAACCCCTAAACCCTCCCCCCCCCCCAGTGGCCGTCCCAAAACTCTAGAAGGCTTACCAGCCCACAGGCCCGAAACCTTCGAATGCTGGCACACTGGCTTCAAGGAAGATCATCTGGAAGGAGTGCGGAGGGTCCAGCAGGGATTTACTGCAATGGCTCACAGGGCTGTTAAAATTTGTTCAGGTCAAGCCCACCCTCCAAGTTTCCAGACTTCCAAGAATTCCAGCAAGCGTATTTCCCCAATTTGGTAGCTATGATGTCGATTACTTCATGTATCCCGAATTTACAAATGGTTTGATAGTTAAGTTACGACAAAGCACCAAGTCATATTGAGCTGAGTATACGAGCAAGTAGGCGAGCTGGACAAAAACTAAGTTGACAGAGCTCGTTGATTTAGCGTCATTGTATTCACATACCGGTCGCATAATCAGAGCCGCTGAAGTACAATTCTCCATTTTCATGGCCGGGAATTTTGGAAAGTCATGAAGGACAGCTACTGGTACAACCGATGCACTGCTTGAGCTCTGGTGTTCGAGACGAGCACTCGCTCGTCAAGTAAACGCAGCGGCTGCGGCTGAGTTCCCTCCGCTTTAACCCATTGTGTGTTTGAAAAGCCTTGTAGGAATGATAGCTTGTCTTCACGAAAGCTAGATCTTTTCGAGCTGGTGGGAGGTTTTGTTCACAACCTTGTTTTGGGGCAAAGTGGACTTTTGGCCTTAGTCCCTAACATCTCAAAGGAGGCCCACACAGGCCCACACAGGCCTAGCCAGTCCGTGTTTTGTTGACCCTCGACCCTAAACCCTAAGCCCTAAACCCTAAACGCTAAACCCTAAACCCCCTGCTGCAAGAAGGAACCAGGGCTCCCTCAAGTGAACCGGCACGTGCTGACTTACCTGCCGGCGTCGGCTCCGGAAGGCCCGGAAGCCTTAACTGTGTTGAGATGGTTTAGGGTTTAGGGTTTAGGGTTTAGGGTTTAGGGCTTCAGGTCTGTGACAGGGACCTGATCAGGTTTAGGTTTTTTTTTGGGAGGGTTTGGGGCTTGGGGCGATGAGAGGTCAGGAGTGAATTTTCAGGTTTTGGGTCTTGAGCTGTTGGGTTCAGGATTTGTGATTCCAAGTCCGCGGGTGTGCACCGGTATATGGGGTTTAGTGTCAGGGAATGCCGAGGCTCATAGGACAGAAGGATGTTAAGCTGGCTTTGGTTAGGGTTGCAGGACTCTTCCGATGCATGCTTCCGAGACTTCAGCACCGAAAGATCGTGTGTGCGGAGTCGAGGCCCAGAACGAGACCCCCCAGCCACAGGCAGAGGGCAAAAACCCTCGGCCTTCGACACGTTGTAACTCCTGGTCGAAGGAGAGCCCATCCCCCTTGTGCTGGTCTTCCACGGATGGGGTGGGGAAGCTGCGTCGTACCTCGGTGGCCTTGAGAAATCCTTCGTGGGAATTGCGGGGCCCCAAAGTGCGGCAAGCATCAGCAAGCTGTAGGAGTCCCTCTTCATTCTTGCAAATGGTGAGTTCTCTCATATGTGGTCCGTTTTAGGGTACCCGAAATATCAGCGGCCACCTTATACTAGTAACCCCAAGAGGGATCAGTCATGTGACGTCAATTCGCCTCATCACATGAAAAGCCTGTAAGAAAACCTTGAATCTGAAGCTGCTGCTGCCTATAACCTCGAATGGTATAGGTCTTGTTTTTCGCCTTTATGGTTTCTAGACCGATTTAAGTGGGCAAGACAAACAACGTGTTTAAGTCGAGCGTTTCAGGAGCGGACATGTTTTAGGGTTTTGGGTCCTTTCAGGGCTTGGGCTATTCAGGTTTTAGGGTTTGAGGTTCAAAGGGACAACGTACCGCAAGGACAGCGTTGGGGCTTGTAATTTGTGACGGTAGTCCAGACACCGCGGATTTGCTTTCAGGTTTCAAGGGTTGCAGGGTCTAAGGGCTTTAGTGCTTGTGGGGTTTTAGCATTCCAGGGGTCTTCGCTATAAATGAACCCGAAACCCTAAACCCTACACCCTATGCGCACACGCGAAAACAAAAGCAAATTGGCACACACTAAAGCCACCCTGGAGGTTCATGGGTAGTTCTACGTAGGGTTGTAAGTATGGTAACTTCGCTTATGACCCCACTTAGGGTGCTTATAAGATCTTACAACCCTACTTACAGCTTCTTCTAACCCTACTTCTGCAACTCTGTTTACAACCACCATAACCCTACTTAAAACTACCAATGAACCTCCAAAACTGAGGTACCACGCCGATTTCGGAAAGCTTGCAGAGCATGCCCAGTTTCTGGCGGTATACCCGCAAGGCCGCGCTAGGACAGATTATCGTTGAGACATTTCAGGTAACATTCTTAGTCAAAAGCTACATGAATTAGTAGGTGCGTGGGCCTCTTTACCTGTTGGGCATCCCGCCTGGTGCAGGAACTATATATAATATTCCTCGATCTATATATAGAAGTTCTCAGAACTATATACAAATTTTCTCAGAACTATATATAATTTTCCAGCAGATGATTCGACATCGTTCCAGATAGTCCGGAACCGCTCGGAACCGTTCTGGACTATATATGAACCCGACGTTTATAAATAGTTCGGAACGGTTCCGAGCGGTTCCGGGCGACTTATAACCATTGTGGGGCTATTGTTGCGGCTTTGATTTGCGCGATGGTCGGCGATGGTGTCTCGCAGCGCGGTTACAAACAGTCCAGAACGGTTCCGAGCGGTTCCGGACGATGTATAAAAAGTTCGGCCAGTTTTATAAATCGTTCGGGGGAACTTTATATATAGTCCGGACGCATGAAATCTGTCCCAACAGACCCATGCCCATAAAGAGGCCCATGCCCACTAATAAATGAACTCCGAGAGACTTAAGGGTTTTTTTGGGCTCAGGCTTGTGCTTGTTGGGATTTGCCCAGCGATTATGCGCATGGGATTGAGGCGGGAACGCCATTTCACACACTGCAAAATGCATAATCCACTTTACAAAAGCAGCAGACGAGTTACGAAGCCGCGCAAGAGCCCGAGAGGCAGGAAAGTAAGGCAGATTGAAGCATCAACAAGTGCACCTAAAAAGTGCACAGGACCGAGGCTCTCGAAACGTGTGCCAAAAAGGGCCCAGATTAGCCTGAAAATAACCTGAAAGCTTAGATAAATGCTGTGTTTGAAATAAAGCATATATATTCTATGGATCGATATGCTGTGTTTGAGATTAATCTCACGCCAAGCTTCCCGCCTCGGCCGGGGCCCACAGCCTCGGCAGTAACGAGGCAAGCTCCTTCAGCCCAAGGCTTGGGTGGATTTGGGTGGATTTGTTAGGAGAGGGGGGGGGGTAGCATCAGGGATCCTCAAGGCGCCTGGTGGACACTAAAGGCATGTTGACGCCGACTCTTGTCCGCCAAGAAGCATCACGATTGTGTGCGTCAGAGAGCGCACTAAGCAGGAAGCTTGTGATGCAAACGGACGACGCTTCTCCAGTAAGAACCTCCATGCCGTCTACCCACATGCGACCTGTCTCTCGCACACGGAGCTGGTCTTAGTAGTGTCGAGTAAGTAATGTAGACCTATTTGGGGTACGTAGTATAATCCTATAACCTTTACCGTTGCCGCTAGAATACTGAATAAGTTGTTTCTCACAATCTGGAGGCTTTGGGGTTGAGTCGTCCCAAAATCCCTGAAGGCTTGAACGATACGGCCAGCGGCTACACGTCCTGGAATGGAGCGGGGTCTTCCACCTCGAACCAGAGCCTTCAATCTTGCAAGACAAGCGTGACGACTACAGGCGCGTGCTACGACAGCTGCAAGCTGAAGAAAGGCAAGTGCCATCCTTGTGACTGGACGACCTGCTATGATGACGTGGCCTTCATCCGCTATCTCCTCACAGACCTGGGAGAGAAATTCTGCATAGACCTGGATCGTGTCTACGCGTACGGCTGCTCGAATGGCGGTTTATTTGTTCATCAGCTGGCCCAAAGTCTGCCCGAAGACTTCGCAGCAATAGCAGCAGTCTGTGGGGGAAAACCCCATCGAGGCTACGAGAGGGCCTTCAAGACCGGTGGCCCGCCTGTGTCCATGATCCTCCTGCAGGGCAAGGACGACGAGACCATCCCTGCGCACACGCCAGCGTCATCTGTGAGCTGGTGGGATGGCTACTACTATGCCAACGATACAGCTGTTCTGCGTGCCTACAAAGACTCTAGGTTTTTCAGTAGCACCTGTTAACAAACGAACAGTAAGAAAGTTGCCCTCTAATTCCTGGGTTACTGGCGAGCCTAGGACTACAACAACTGCCAGAATTCGGAGCCGCGAGATTTTGCGCTTCCACCCGGGGTGACCAGTGAGGGGCTGTCCTGCGTGGAGTACGGCCACCTTTGTTCCCAGAATGCTTCCGTGGTCGAGTGCTTGTTCGATGGCGGACACGATATGGTACAGGAGACAGGCTCCAACGGCATTGAGGATGACCCCGAAGCTGCCTGGTTCTTTATGTGTCAGCACTCTCGTACTGGACCCATAAATTCAGCCCGCTGTGTTTTGCCACAGCATGCTGCTCCAAGGGGGTTTCTGTGGAATTTCCTGACGCATGCAGGAGTTAGCGTTGCTTTCCTGGCCTTTGGGCTTACTGTGTACATCTCTCATAAGAGGCAGAGGAGTACTCAGAGACAGCACATCAAGCACAACAATTACTTGTCTGGAAATTAAAATCCTTTCCGCAAACCCTGCGCTGGCATGCGCCACGCAGGCAGCAAGAGCCCTGTGTCAAAGTACAGGGGCAATGCATGACACGGGTTGCTGGTTCTATTCAGCAGGTGATGCTCCCCAATTTGACAGACAACAGAATATCACTCGACAGACATGCCCCCACGGAGCGCCGTTCTCAGCGACGGTACACATTTGAGAGCGCGCTGGCCTTCTCCTAGACACAATAAGCCAAGAAATTCAATAGTTGCGCGTCTCCAGGATAGGCCCAGCAAGGTACCAACGTATGCCGCACGACTCTCCCGTGCAAGGCCCCTGCGTTGGATCGTCAAGGTAGCGGCAAGAGACATGCTGCCATCCATATTCCGAGCGCATCGCCCTTCGGAAATAGCATTTTGTCTTGCCAGCATTGAAGCAGGAGCATCAGCTCGAATTCTGTTTTTGTCGGCGCACTCCTTGTTTTCAGTAGTGGCACCTGGACGAAGGATGGTTCATTGGCCAGGTTTGGAAGTGCCATCGGTCTTGACACGCGCTCCCAATGGGGATGCGCATCAGGGTTTAAGGCTTCGGGTTGTCCAGCGACCTAAGAATATGAGGTTCGGGTTACACTCTTCAAGGGTTTAACCCTAAACCCTAAGCCCCAAACCGAGTTCAGTGAGTCGTGAGACTTTGAGCAAAGCACCTCTTGGCAGGACCCCGGCTCCTAACACTCCTGTCGTGGATGGCCGCCAGGAGCGCCCTGGGCAGGGGGGTTTAGGGCTTAGGGTTTAGTTTAGGGTTTAGGGTTTAGGGTTTAGGGTTTAGGCCCTTTTCCTCGGAGGCAGCTGCTGCAGGGACTTTTAAAAAGACTTTTGATTAGTGTGGTTTAGGGTTTAGGGTTTAGGGTTTAGGGTTTAGGGAAGATAGCCGGTGTTTACAGTTTCGTTTCAGGGGAAACCTTCGGTGCAAGGAATCTGTCTGGGTGCCTTGGTATAGAAAAACGGAACCCTCATTAGTGTACCTGTATGGTTACTGTTGCCTTACTGTTCTACCATCCACGTCGCTGCATGAGTACTGTGCTCCCTTTTGGGGATGGGGTGTTCAAAATTAATTCGCGACAAAAAGGCTTAAGGTGTCTTCGGCAAAGAATTTCGGATTTGTTTGTCTGGGTTTGGGGTGCCAGCAGCCTGACCAAGAACGACGCCAAGGTAGGCTGCGGGTTTGGGGTTTAGGGTATATAGGGTATATAGGGTATATAGGGTATATAGGGTATATAGGGTATATAGGGTATATAGGGTATATAGGGTATATAGGGTATATAGGGTATATAGGGTATATAGGGTATATAGGGTATATAGGGTATATAGGGTATATAGGGTTTAGGGTGGGTTTAGGATATATAGGGTTTAGGGCAACCCTGAAGGCTCAACCCTAAACCCGAAGCCCAATAGTCGAAACTGCTGCAGGAGGGTTGGGCTTGTCGTTTGTCGATTCCCGAAACTTCAAGTCCAAAACCATAAACGAAAACGCCACCATCGCGAACAATTGAAGAGGCGTTCCCCTTCTAATTCACACAGCAAGAAGGAACGTCGGAGAGAGAGAAAGAAAGAAAGAAGACCTAGACCCTGAACCCCAAACCCCTCCCAAAAACTGAACTGGGGCGATCTGGACATAGCTAGCTTTAGTATCTATGTGCCGTAATCCCCATATACACTGATTATATAGAGGCCTGCAAGTCCAGCCAAGGAAACCCAGGCCATGGTAAACTCTAGACCGTGCAAACCGCTCGGGTGCTGGCAGGCGCGGGTCGTCTCGCAGGCCCTGCCGATGCAGCGGGTGCGTACGCCCTCGCCGGCAGTGACTCAGCATGGGTCGTAGCTTTGTGTAATGAAACCTAAAAAGGGCTTCTTTTCAGGGAAAGCCCATCTTGGTAGAGTTGTTTGATGTTGTTTGACTCCAGCGCTGCAGGCTATGTGGTGGAACCATGAAGCTGTCTTGAACGTGTTCAGGGCTTGTTCTGTGGCTTGGGGTTGCCCGCCGATGCTTGGCGTTTGCTGGATGCTCATCAAGTGTTAACGTGTTCTTGCCTCATTTGATCCGTAAATAGGTTCTTGGAGTGTTTGGGGTGTGGAGGGCAGAGTTTGGGGTGATTCTACATGATATCGGCCGAAGCGCATGACACTGCAGTCGGTCAACGTGTCTGAACCCCCCCCCCCCTCTTGAAGCTTGCCAGATGCTGTCCGAGCAAGCCCATCACAAAGATTCGTAAACTACGCCCAAAGACCTAAAGCAAACCCTGAACCCAAACCCCAAACCCCAACCCTAAACCCTAAACATCCCTAAACCCTAACCCCACAGGGGCTAGGGAGCAGCAAAGGTGACCAGCTTGCCAGGAGCGACTTGGCAGCGAGAAACCGCCCTTTAAGACCTCAAGCCTATGAGGGTGTAGGGTTTCAGGGTTCAGGGCTGAGGGAAGGCCAAGGTTTCCGGTTCAATCAGGTCGTGCTTCAGGTTTGAGGTGCAGGGTTGCGGGCTCCATCATGGCCTGTCGTGTATCTCCACCCGCTTGTCCCCCTCCCCGCAGCACTCTGAATTCAAACCCTCCCTAGACCAACCAACAAACCGAACTTCCAAGGCAGATATTTCCCGGAACTGCCTTTGAGGAGATCACGTATCTGGGAATATCCTCTTCAGACCAACCCAGAACTCTGAAATCGAGCCCCGGGCACAACCATGGACCACCAGCCCAGGAATGCATTCCCATGTCCGCACAGCCTCGCCCAGTACACCGGCCGGCCTGACCGGACAGTCTTCTTAGGAAGTGATGTTGTGCTCGCTGTTTAGATTGTTGCTTCGTACGAAACTTGGCACCTATTATGAAGTTGCATTGGGTTGTATGTATGTATGTATGTATGTATGTATGTATGTATGTATGTATGTATGTATGTATGTATGTACATATGAAAATCTGCATGTATATATCTATATATGTATATTTATGTATGCACATGGCTTGGTACAAGGAGGTTTTATTGCCGACGCAAATCTCAAGGTACACTGCAAACAAGAGGGTTGAGGGCGGTATTTTATACAAACTCAAGGAAAGATACCCAACACACACACACAATCACGAACGCAAAATCAAACACAAGCACAGACACAAAAACACACACACACACACACTCACACACAAGCACAAAGACAAGGACAAAGACACAGAGTAAGACTAAGACTAAGACTAAGACTACGACTAAGACTAAGACTAAAGACTAAGACTAAGACTAAGACTAAAGACTAAGACTAAGACTAAGACTAAGACAACTACAATCACAAACGCAAACACAAACACAAACACAAAAACAAACACACACACACAAACACACACACACACACAAAAACACAAACACAAACACAAACACAAACACGATCACAAACACAAACACAATCACAAACACACACACAATCACACAAAAGCTGCATGGTTCAAGTCGTCAGGGTTGCGGGTTCGTTTTCTTGACGCTGCAGTTTATTTACATAGAGCTTGTGGGGAGGTAGGGCAGTGGGCTCGGTAAAGGAAACGATTGAGACGCGGCTTGAATACATGATGTCGCGAGGGGTCTATAAGGCAGCATGCCAGATCTAGCTGCAATCTAGCTCGAGAAGATTGAACTGATGCCTCCTTTGCGATACGTACACAGCAGCCAGTCGTGATAATTGGTCTTCAGCGACTATTGTGTGTGTTTTACATACGTTCCACTCAGCTTTCGTTAGACCACTAGCAATTACGTGCTCCCTGAGCATACGAGCTTAGTAGCCCCTAGGGGCTACATCGAGGTCTAGAGTTTCTTGTTGAGGGCCGGTGGAGCTCGCATCATGGTGGCGAAGGACAGGACGAATTCGCCAGGTGGACGCCGGGCACAGAAGGGTTTAAGGGCTTCTCAAAGGTTTTGAAAACCCTCAGGGTTTAGGGTTTAGGAGCTGAGGAGTTCAGGGTAACACCCTTAGCACCTTGCCAGCCCAAAGGAGATTAATGCTCAGGGATGTATCGGTCCTGCTGCTGTTGCAGCGTCCCAGGAAGGAGTTCTGGTTCTGCATGAAAGAGATGATGCGATACTTACAACACATGCATCGGGTTTCGATCCATCTCTGGTCCGTTTTCTTTCAAGACATGCATTGGGCTTCGAATCCATTTAAGGGTTTACTAGACACCCCAAATAGTAGGCCTTTATCATAAGGACCCCCCAGAAGGTACCCCTAATATCGTACCCCCCATGTCTGGTCTGTTTGTCCACCTGGATTTTGTCGCTTGCTGTGCGGCGCCGGCGGTGGGGTGGTCTCCTAGAGGTGGACCCCACATCGCCATTTTGCACTCCTCCTGGGCGGCTACTTCAAAGCTGAGAACAAGAGAGTCTCAGAGAAGTGCTGGTTAAACCATGCCTGCCCTATATAGTTTACTTCGACCTGGTACAAGGCTTGTATGCTTGCCGAAGGCACTGTCACCCGTGCAACAAGGAGCATGTTAGGCCCCCTTTTTTGCCCAATAAGCTAAGACCCTGTAGCCTTGTGGTAGCACCTGAGAGGCTACAACCACCTTTCGACCCGTTTCGTGGGGTGCTGCAACTGCGATGAAGGTTTACAACATGACCCTGCGGTGGTGAAGTGGTGATTAGATCCTTTTGCAGCGCCATCAGCCCGAAAACCCACAATCGGGAGGCTTCGGCTTGAAGTGAGCAAGTTTGGGGTTGAGAACATTGGCGGAAAAGCGGTAGCAAGCAACACCATGTGATAGCGTGGTAGACTTGAACACCGTCATGGTACAGCCGTGCGATGCCGCACATGTCGCTTGCTTGTTTGCATTTGACCCTAAACCCTAAACCCTAATCTCTGCCTCCAAGCATGCACCGCCTGTGTAGTGAGCGATGCTTTTCGCATGAGGCAGCTGTGGGATGCGACTTTCTGTTTCCAACGCAATAAAAGGGAACCCCGCCACCCAACCACGAACTCGATTCCTTGCAGTTGCCACGCCATCAAACACTCAAACCGGGTCAAATCTGTATACCATCTATATACTCAGATAGATAGATATATATATATGTATATGCAATGCTTCGCGCCTCAAAAGGGCCGAGGATCGCGAGGCTGCAATACAGATGAAGACCCGCAGGTTGCCGAATCCCCCTCCCCCTCTGAAATATGCACAGGAGCCAAAGCAATTCCAAACCCAAAAGTCAAACAAACTGCC